GGGAACGAACACTAAGCTCAGCTGTGGCAGGAGGGGCAGGCGCAGCACCAGACGCGTAATCATAGAGCGACACATGCTCCTTGCTATCGCTCAGGAGGAACAGCTGCAGGTCATCTAAGCACAGGGCGGCCCTCAGCATCGAACGACAGCACGCGGATGGAAGCCATAGCGACAGTGTGACAGAGTAACGCAAGCTGCCGCAGCAGGGGAAGGCGACTGTGCACGGATAGAGAGCAGCGGGCGAGGCTGGCGCTACGGGCAGGCGGCGCTGCAAGCGGTCAGCGCGACGGGAGGGCGACGCTGCGAGCGGGCAGCGCGGCGGACGGGCCGGGAAGCGGGCAGCGCGGCGGGCAGGCGGCGCTGCAAGCGGGCAGCACGGCGGGCGGGCGACGCTGCGAGGCGGGCGGGCCGCGAAGCGGGCAGCGGGCGGGCGGGCGGGCTGCGAAGCGGGCAGCGGGGCGAGCGGGCTGCGATGCGGGCGGGCCGCGAAGTGGGCAGCTAGCGGGCGGGCGGGCTGCGAAGTGGGCGGGCCGCGAAGCGGGCAGCGGGGCGAGCGGGCTGCGAGGCGGGCGGGCCGCGAAGCGGGCAGCGAGCGGGCGGGCGGGCTGCGAAGTGGGCGGGCTGCGAAGCGGGCAGCGAGCGAGCGGGCTGCGAAGCGGGCGGGCCGCGAAGCGGGCAGCGAGCGAGCGGGCTGCGAAGCGGGCGGGCCGCGAAGCGGGCAGCGAGCGGGCGGGCGGGCTGCGTAGTGAGCGGGCCGCGAAGCGGGCAGCGAGCGGGCGGGCGGGCTGCGAGCGGGCGGCTCGGCGAGGGGCGCGCGAGGGCGCTAGTGAGGGGCGCGCGAGGGCGCTAGCAAGGGGCGCGCGAGGGCGCTAACGAAGGGGCGCGCGAGGGCGCTAACGAAGGGGCGCGCGAGGGCGCTAACGAGGGGCGCGCGAGGGCGCTAACGTGGGCGCACGAGGGCGCTACGAGGCTAGGGCACGGGGTAGCGTGGTAACCGCATGCGAGCGGTGGTGGGCCCTTAAAAAAAACGGTCGGTAGGTCCTAGGGACCTCCTGCTCTGATACCATATCAGAATCACTAGGCAAGAATGAATGAACTAACAGAAGTTTGGGTACAAATATGAAACCCTAGTTGGGGCTGTACCCCATATTGGCTACCCCACTACAGCCTACAAGCATAATACAGTTTAACAACGTTTACTTACAGTTCGACGACGCCCACGTCAACGACTCCGTCGCGTGGAGGAACATCTGGGATTTTTTACGCAAACTTCTCGTCAACGATGACAATGCTGGATTGCTTTGTCGTCTTGAAAACAGCGGACTTCAAGTACACGTTGTTCAAGTACACAGGAACATGCGAACATTCTTTGTTCGCATGCACATAGCTCTCGAAGCATGTGTTGATGTGCGATGCTGTGGTTCCTAGTGCAATCAGTGCACTATCTGTGGATGAGTCGTGAATGCAAGCGACCAATTTGTGCGTGTTATTGTTTTTTGGTTCAAATGATGTGACCTGCAACTTGACAGCAATGGATGGAACCTGAGAAGAAATAAAAAACACACAAAAAGTATGCAGAAAATATTGTCATATTCATTTCATACAATTGAATGAGTCTCATACGTGTCATGTGTTGGGAACAACAACAAATGATGAACAAAACACATACCTTAACACATGAACATAACACAAATAACATTATATCACAATAGTTGAAGGCATTCAAAAGTTATACAGGTGACCAACTATATGATTGTCTCACGTAAACCTTAAACCCAAATCAATATACAATCATTACACCATATCATGTCGATCTTAATATGTTGACTTAGACTCAAATGATCAAAGTTTAGCAATATAAATACTATAGCAATATAACAATATGTAACAAACTATAACATAAATATATAAACATACATATATGAAACAAGTTATAGCACTTACCCGCTCGAGATCCTTGATCTCGTAGAAGTTCTTCAAAGATGCTGTAGGCACATTGCCTACATCCAACTCCTCCGATCCAACTGCCTCAATCATATAAGAACAGCGGTGGACCCAGTTGAACTGGATGACCAAACCGCTAACTCGTTTCCTGCATTAAGAATATATGTTGTGAATCTTAAAACATGGGAAAACAAACTGAGATATATAGCATGTTATGCAAATATAGCACGAACCATCCAACTTGCCCGGGTACAGCATCGATGCGGTGCACTTGATAAATCTTTCAAATCGAAAGACTCATCACGAACGCATTGATGCTCTCCGCATCACATTTTCCTTGGCCTGTTGCCTCAGGCCAAAGAACAATCTCAGCAACATTGAAGCCCTCAAAGATGGCAACTTTGCCGGGTGTGAAACGACCGCTGTCCGTTGGCTGTGCAAGGTCTCTACCAAGGACAACGAACTTGAGATGGAAAACCATTATCTTCTTTCCGCCCACTACAAGTGGTTCAAGCTTCTTGAACCGCGTCTCAGCAGAAGCCTGAAATAAAAAGCAGTATTCAAATAATTAGAAATTGGGCAGTCTTACATTTGGAAAAAGTCTTCCGTTTTTTATGGCACTCACCCGACCAGTGTTGTGTCGAGAAGGAGGAGTTGCTGCACAGAATATGAAATATATCATGAAATATGAACATAAATGGGGAAATTGTTAAACTGTATTATGCTTGTAGGCTGTAGTGGGGTAGCCAATATGGGGTACAACCCCAACTAGGGTTTCATATTTGTACCCAAACTTCTGCTAGTTCAACCATTCTTGCCTAGTGATTCTGATATGGTATTCAGAGCAGGAGGTCCCTAGGACCTACCGATCGTTTTTAGGGCCCACCACCGCTCGCATGCGGTTACCACGCTACCCCGTTCCCTAGCCTCGTAGCGCCCTCGTGCGCCCTCGTTAGCGCCCTCGCGCGCACCCTCGTTAGCGCCCTCGCGCGCACCCACGTCAGCGCCCTCGCGCGCCCCTTCGTTAGCGCCCTCGCGCGCCCCTTTGCTAGCGCCCTCGCGCGCCCCTTGCTAGCGCCCTCGCGCGCCCCTCACTAGCGCCCTCGCGCGCCTCTCACTAGCGCCCTCGCGCGCCCCTCGCCGAGCCGCCCGCTCGCAGCCCGCCCGCCCGCTCGCTGCCCGCTTCGCGGCCCGCTCACTACGCAGCCCGCCCGCCCGCTCGCTGCCCGCTTCGCGGCCCGCCCGCTTCGCAGCCCGCTCGCTCGCTGCCCGCTTCGCGGCCCGCCCGCTTCGCAGCCCGCTCGCTCGCTGCCCGCTTCGCGGCCCGCCACTTCGCAGCCCGCCCGCCCGCTCGCTGCCCGCTTCGCGGCCCGCCCGCCTCGCAGCCCGCTCGCCCCGCTGCCCGCTTCGCGGCCCGCCCACTTCGCAGCCCGCCCGCCCGCTCGCTGCCCACTTCGCGGCCCGCCCGCATCGCAGCCCGCTCGCCCCGCTGCCCGCTTCGCAGCCCGCCCGCCCGCCCGCTGCTCGCTTTGCGGCCCGCCCGCCTCGCAGCGTCGCCCGCCCACCGTGCTGCCCGCTTGCAGCGCCGCCTGCCCGCCGCGCTGCCCGCTTTCCGGCCCGTCCGCCGCGCTGCCCGCTCGCAGCGTCGCCCTCCCGTCGCACTGACCGCTTGCAGCGCCGCCTGCCCGTAGCGCCAGCCTCGCCCGCTGCTCTCTATCCGTGCACAGTCGTCTTCCCCTGCTGCGGCAGTTTTCGTTACTCTGTCACACTGTCGCTATGGCTTCCATTCGCGTGCTGTCGTTCGATGCTGAGGGCCGCCCTGTGCGTTTCACCGCTTGGCTAGATGACCTGCAGCTGTTTCTCCTGAGCGATAGCAAGGAGCATGTGTCGCTCTATGACTACGCGTCTGGTGCTGCGCCTGCCCCTCCTGCCACAGCTGAGCTTAGTGTTCGTTCCCACTGGCAGACTCGTGACGCAGCTGCTCGCCTAGCCATTCGCAGTCACCTGCCGTTAGCTGAGCTAGAGCATTTTGGCGACTGCAAATCCGCTAAGGCCCTGTACGACGCTGTCGTCGCTCGCTACTCCTCGCCTGCCACAGCCGAGCTTAGCCGCCTCATGCTGCCGTACCTGTTCCCCGATCTGTCCACCTTTACTACAGTCGCCGATCTTATCACCCACCTTCGCACTAGTGATGCTCGCCTGCGTGCCGCCCTTCCCACCGAGTTCTGCGCTAAGAACCCCCTCCACTGTACTGGACACTCCACTTCATAGTCACCCGTCTCCCTGACACCCTCCGCTCAGTTCGAGACCACTTCCTTGCTCGCTGTCCCACTGAGCTCACAGTCGCCCTCCTAGAGGAGCACCTGCTCGCGGCCGAAAAGAGCATTGTAGCTGTCGGTGCTGCTCGTGGCGCTCCTCGCACCCCCATCTTTGAGGGGTGTTCTCCCTCTCCCCTCGCTCCCTCCTACGCTGCTGCTGCTGCTGTTGACTTCCTTGGTGCTGAGTCTGTTGGCGCTGCTTCTACTCCTGGTGGGAGGCGCCGCACCGGCAAGGGCAAGGGGGGCAAGGGTGGTGGTGGTGGCGCTGGGGGGGGAGGAGGTGGGGGAGGTGGGGGGGGAGGCGGTGCTGGAGGGAGCGGTGGCGGGAGCGCTGGTGGGAGTGGGGTCGGTGGTGGAGACGGGGGCGGCGGAGGGACCAGTGGCAGTAGTGGCGGCGGCGGTGGCGGCGGTGGCGGTGGTGGCGGTGGTGGCGGTGGTGGCGGTGGCGGTCGGAGCGGTGGTAGTGGTGGCGGCGGAGGTCGGAGTGGAGGCACTGGCTCTGGCCAGAGCTCCCAGCAGCAGCAGCGTCCCCAGACGACCCAGCAGCTTCGTGAGTGGCTTGCTCAGCGTGGGACGTCGGGGGCCAGTGCCCGCTGTTCTTATGTCATTCGCACAGGTGACCGCAAGGGACAGACGTGTGGGAGGTTCCACACCCCGTACCGCTGCTTCTCCCGCCTTGACGACGCTTGGCGTGAGGAGATGGGTGCGGATGTTGAGCGCCCCCGCTGGGCTGAGCTCATGAGGGCTGGTGTTGATGTCTTTGCTCTTGACTATGATGCTATTATTGCTGCCATGTATGCATTGACTGTTAGTGCCGAGGGAGACTGTTACTTGTGTGTGCCGCCTGACCCAGGTATAGAGCCCGCTGCCCTGGGTACTAGTGAGTCTGCTCTCTCTGGTATGGTGCCCCGTGTACTTGCTCCCTCCAGTGCTGTCCCGACTGGTTTCGAGTCTGCTCTCTCAGGTACAGCACCCACAGAGACTGCTCTCTCAGGTACCGCACCGGCTGAGGCCTGTCACACCTTCACCCTTGACTCAGGTGCTTCCCGTTGCTTCTTTCGTGACAGTACTGAGCTCACACCGCTTCCTGCACCGGTCCCAGTCTCCTTGGCTGACCCCTCTGGGGGCCCAGTCCTTGCCCAGTCCACCACTGTCCTCCCTTGTCCGGCGGTTCCGTCTGGCTCGTTGTCGGGTTTCCACCTCCCCTCGTTCTCGACGAACCTGGTGAGCAACGCTGTCCTCCAGGATCAGTGGGTTGACACCTTTACCCCTGGCGGACAGCGTGTGGCGATCTGCACGTGCTCCAGGACTGGCCGTCACCTGGCTACGTTCACCCGTCGGCCGGGGTCGAGTCTCTACACACTGACCACTGCGTCTCCCCAGGTAGCTGCTGTCGGTCAGGTGTCTGCGTCAGGTCTGGTGGCCCACGCCTGTGAGTGTCGTTCCCTGTCGCACCAGACTCTTCTCTGGCACCACCGCCTGGGTCACCCCTCCTTGCCACGCCTTCGTGGCATGCACCGTCGCCTCCTTGTGTCCGGTCTTCCCAGGTCCCTCCCTCCCCTCCCTGCCTCGCCTGCGCCGCCCTGCCTTCCTTGCGTCGAGGGGCGGCAGCGCGCCGCTCCTCACTCCTCCTCGTTCCCCCCGACAGAGGCTCCTCTGGAGACCCTCCACCTGGACGTGTGGGGCCCAGCCCGCGTTCGTGGTCAGGGCGGTGAGCGGTATTTTTTGCTGGTTGTCGACGACTACTCGCGTTACACCACGGTCTTCCCCTTGCGCACCAAGGGTGAGGTCCCTGCTGTTCTGATCCCTTGGATCCGCACGGTTCGTCTCCAGCTCCGCCGCCGTTTCCGGACGGATCTCCCTGTCCTGCGTCTGCACTCTGACAGAGGTGGTGAGTTTTCCTCCGATCTCTTGAGGACCTTCTGTCAGGCGGAGGGCATCGAGCAGACCTTCACGCTTCCGGACTCCCCACAGCAGAATGGGGTTGCTGAGCGCCGCATTGGCCTGGTCATGGAGGTCGCTCGTACCTCCTTGGTCCACGCGGCGGCTCCCCATTTTCTGTGGCCGTTTGCTGTCCGGTACGCCGCGCATCAGCTCAACCTCTGGCCCCGTGTCTCCTTGCCGGAGACGTCGCCCACACTGCGTTGGACGGGGGAGGTTGGCGATGCGTCGCGCTTCCGGGTGTGGGGTGCTCGTGCCCTTGTCCGCGATACGTCCGCGGACAAGCTCTCCTCCCGCACGCTTCCCTGTGTCTTCCTTGGCTTTGTCCCTGACGCGCCTGGCTGGCAGTTTTACCACCCCACCTCGCGCCGGGTCTTCGCCTCTCAGGATGTCACCTTTGACGAGTCGGTCCCTTTTTACCGTCTCTTCCCCTACCGCACTGCCCCCCTCCCTCCCCCGCCGCTTTTCCTTGCTCCTGGTCCCCCTCCGGTAGACCCCCTTCCCCCTCAGGGTCCTGCTCCTTCAGGTGTCTCTCAGGTAGACCCTCCTCCCGTCGCTGAGCCTGTCGAGGTCACAGGTGACTCAGGTGCTGCTGCGGGTGGTGCTGCTGGGAGTGCTGAGCCTGGGGGTGCTGAGCCTGGGGGTGCTGAGCCTGGGGGTGCTGGGCCTGGGAGTGCTGGGACTGCAGGTGCTGGAGCTGAGGGTACTGTGCCTGAGAGTTTGCCGCCTGGGGGTGCTGAGCCTGGGGGTGCTGCGACTGGGGGTGCTGAGCCTGCGGGTACTGAGCCTGCGGGTACTGAGCCTGGGGGTGCTGCTACTGAGCCTACGGAGCCTCGGGTTACTGCGTCTGGGGGTGCTCCGGTTCGGGGTGCTGAGCAGTCTCTCACACCGCAGCAGCTTCGTGACTGGTACGTCCGACGCTTTCGCCGTCCTAGTGGCTCGGCTGGAGTTGGGGGTGCTGGAGCTGCTCGTCCTGGGGGTGCTCGTACTGGGGGTACTGGAGCTGCCGGGACTGGCTGTTCTGGGAGCACTGCGACTGGAGCTGCTGGAGCTGGGGACTCTGGCGCTGGCGGTGCTAGCGGAGTTGGAGCTGCCGACTCTGGGGGTGGCGCGGCTGCTGGTGCTGCGGACCCACCTGGTGGAGCTGCTACAGGTGCTGGGGACCCGGCCGGTGGAGCTGCTGCTGGTGCTGTGGACCCGGACGCTGGAGCTCCTACTGGTGCTGAGGACCCGGCCGCTGGAGTCCCTTCTGCTTCTGGAGACGCTGCGCGGCCGCGACCGTACTTCGTACCGCTCCTTCAGCAGGTTCTTGGGCAGGCTCCTCCTCCTTGTCCTCCTCCCTCCGTAGAGTGTCCTCCGCCTGTCCAGCCGCAGTCACAGTTACCGCCTGCCTCGCCTCTCCCTGCTCCCTCTCCTTATACTGGTCCCACAGGAGGTCTTACAGAGCGTCGTGAGCCTGAGTCTCGTCCTGCGTCGCCTGTTCGTCCTGCTCGCACTGCTAGTCGTGTCCGTCGTGAGCGTCCTCCTCCTGTCCCAGGCACTCACTACATGACTCTGCGTCCCTCTACTGCTCCTCGGCGTGTCCCTCTACCGTCTCCTCCTGCGTCCTCTTTGCCTGACGTTCCGGACCCTGAGTCTGACCGGTATCGCGCTGAGCACCCTACAGTCACGCGTCTCCTCGCTACTGTTGTCACTGACCCTACCTTTGAGTCCTCGGCTGCGTCTGCTCTGGTCGCTGAGTTGGTTGACTTTGCTGCTGCCTGTCGTCTAGACTACGCCGCTAGCCTTGTTGCTGAGTCAGAGTCTGCGTCTGTCTGTCCTCCGTCCGTCTGGGGTGAGTGTGCTCTTGGCACGGACGTCCTTGAGGACAGGCAGGAGGACTTTGACTCTCTTGCGGCTGCTGTACCTCATCTCGTGGCCTGGTTGCTTGCCCCTGAGGGAGACCCGGATGCACTAGACATCCCCACTCCGCGCACTTACGCAGAGGCGATCTCGGGTCCCTACTCCTCTCAGTGGCAGACAGCCATGGACGCAGAGATGGCATCCTGGAAGTCCACAGGCACCTACGTCGACGAGGTTCCCCCTCCTGGGGCGAACATCGTCGATGGCATGTGGATTTTCAGGGTGAAGCGGCCGCCAGGTTCTCCGCTTGTCTTCAAGGCTCGTTACGTTGCTAGAGGCTTCAGTCAGCGTCAGGGGGTCGACTTCTTCCAGACCTTCTCCCCCACCCCGAAGATGACCACTCTTCGGGTTCTGCTGCACGTTGCTGCTCAGCGTGACTACGAGCTTCACTCTCTTGACTTCAGCACAGCGTTCCTGCAGGGCAGCCTGCACGAGGAGATCTGGCTGCGCCGACCACCTGGCTTTACTGGGTCGTTTCCCCCTGGTACCCAGTGGAGTCTCCGCCGGCCAGTCTACGGTCTCCGCCAGGCGCCACGTGAGTGGCACGACACACTGAGGACTACTCTTGCGGCTCTTGGGTTCGCGCCGTCTACTGCTGACCCGTCGCTGTTTCTGCGCACAGACACGTCGCTGCCGCCGTTCTACATTCTCGTGTACGTCGACGACTTGGTCTTTGCTACTGCTGACACTGAGGCACTCGCTCGTGTGAAGTCGGAGCTGCAGAAGAGACACACCTGCACTGACCTGGGTGAACTGCGTAGCTACCTTGGCTTGTAGATCACCCGGGACAGAGCTCGCCGCACCATCACCCTGACTCAGTCACACATGGTGCAGCAGGTCCTTCAGCGCTTCGGCTTCCAGTTCTCCTCACCACAGGCCACACCTCTGGCTACCAGCCACTCGCTCTCAGCTCCACCTTCGGACGAGTCCGTAGAGCCGAGTGGCCCGTACCCAGAGCTTGTAGGCTGCCTCATGTACTTGATGACTTGCACGCGACCTGACCTCGCGTACCCTCTTAGCATCCTTGCTCGTTACGTTGCGCCTGGGAGACACAGGCGAGAGCACTGGGAGGCTGCTAAGAGGGTGCTGCGTTACCTGTGCAGTACATCAGGCATGGGGCTGGTGCTTGGAGGACGCGACAGAGTTGTCCTCACTGGTCACTCGGACGCCTCTTGGGTGGACGACCTGGCTACGCAGCGGTCGTCACAGGGTTACACCTTCAGCCTTGGCTCAGGTTCTGTCTCGTGGCGGTCCACCCGCTCTTCCTCTGTTCTCGGCTCTAGTTGTGAGGCTGAGATCTACGCCACAGCCATGGCTGCACAGGAGTTACGCTGGCTCACCTACCTGCTGACTGACTTGGGAGAGCGGCCTAGTTCTCCTCCAGTTCTGTACGGTGACAACAAGGCGGCTCTTGCCTTGTGTCAGGAGCACAGACTGGAGCACAGGACGAAGCACATTGCTCTTCGCTACTTTCTTGCTCGAGAGCTTCAGCAGCGCGGTCAGCTTCGACTTGTGTACGTGGACTCGAAGGCCAACACTGCTGATATCTTCACCAAGGCGCTCCCGCCTAGTGATCATCAGCGGCACTGTACTTCTTTAGGCCTTGTGTCCACGTTTCCTCACTTGCTTACTGCTTGACATTCTTTGTACTGTACTTTATATATATCTTGTTGCTTGCTTGCTAGGTTTTGATCACTGTGTTGCTTGTCTTGTACTATATCTAGCACTGCATGTGAACTGGCCTTGTGGCCTTTACTTGTGCTCGGAGTGTGGTGACGTTGTGATCCACCCTGGGCTTTGTTTTGCTTTGCTGGACTGGTCTTGTGACCCTTTGTTCTCCCCCACTTTGCCTATGGGGGTGTGTTAAACTGTATTATGCTTGTAGGCTGTAGTGGGGTAGCCAATATGGGGTACAACCCCAACTAGGGTTTCATATTTGTACCCAAACTTCTGCTAGTTCAACCATTCTTGCCTAGTGATTCTGATAGAAATGATCTGAGAAATATGTTTCGCCAACATGAATTTTAAGACGAGATTGAAAAGAGTTTGACCAAACGTAATCAATAAGTGTATTATATACTGTTGTTGGTTCAAGTACAAATTGCATGAAACCATGTCTCGAGAAAAAAATTTCATACCGAGGCTGAGATACAGTATTGAGATTCATTTTGAAATCACCAATGAATATCATTTTTGCGTTAGGGTTTTGATCAATGTAAAATGAGAGCATCTCATAAAGTGTATTGATATTACGATGATCCGTAAGATTACGATAACAACAATGAATTATTAATTGGTCATTCTCGATATCAATCAAGAAAGACATCAATTCAATCTTAGAATTTTCCAAGTATCGTAAAATTTTGATAGGCTTTCGATAATAAACAATAATACCTCCCGACGAACAATCAAAACGTTTTATATCAAATATTTTAGGGCTTTGTTCTGGTAGAGAATCGCCAGCTGATAAATGGGTCTAAAAAAAAACCAAAAAGTCAAATGCTTCGAGGTGTCTAAATCCAATATCTTTGTAGTGTCCTCGTAAGGTTCGAACATTCTGGAACATAAACCTGAGAACCGAAGTTTGCTTAGATAAAACGCCAATAGGTAATGGATTCAATACAAGAGGTTGTTTTCGTAAACGTTCCATTTCTGCTATTACGCGAGGGTCGGTTTTAATGCAAGATATTGTAAAATTGTCAACATAAAGACGATGGGGAGATCGAAAACGACTTAAGGCAACGTAAGCGCCCTGCGGAAAAACTTTGTTCTCAAAATGCACAACACCCGCGTCAAAAGTAGCGCCTTGACTGCGATAAAAGGAAATAGCATTGCTTGGACGAAGTGGAAATTGCATTCGTGAAATGGTGTCGTATCGTGAGTTGACTGAGAATGATTTTTCAACTCGTTGTATAGGAATCCAATTCGGATTTCCATACTCGATTGTCGAAACCAATGACTTTGATTTCAAACGCCACTGTTTCCCAACGTATTTATCATCGAACTGAATCCACACAGTCTCCACTGTACCATTATAGTTTAAACTGAAATGAACGACACTGCCTGGAGTCCCATTGGCAAGTCCATCAGACGTGTCTAAATTGCAAGTGACATGGACTCGCGAACCGATATATAGTTCAAGTGATGACAACAATCCGTGGGACGCAGTGGATGCAAAATCAGATGGAGTAATTGGTCCATCTTTTCTCGTTTGATCGCTTCCAAAAAGCGCACAATCCAATGCTGGAATTACAGGTTTTTCAGTCATCGAATATGTAAAAGCATTATGGTTGAAATTATCGATGAATTTGTTAGTGCAACATAAATGCTGCAAACTTTTCTCTGTTACAGGAATTGTAATTTCACGTTCGCGTATAAATTGTATGTCACTCTGAGTTTGTTTACCTTCACGAAGTCGATTTAACAATTTCGCATATTCAACCTCCTCACGTTGTCGCATAATAGTTGTAAGCTCAACAAGTTTGACACGACTCCATACATTCAAATCACTTTCTATGTCAACGCACGAGCTATCGCCAAAACAATGAATGTCACGTACCGGAGGTAATTGAAAGAAATCCCCAACAAAAATCATGTGTAATCCACCAAAAGGCAAATTTGCGCAGTTCGTAAGTTCCGAAGTCTAAAATCGACCCACTCAAACGTATTCCTTCCCACCATTGATATTTCATCAATAATAACGACTTTAACATCTCCTAATCGAGACCTCAATGTATTCAATTTATCTGATGTCAACTTTATTATGCGACGCCTTTGTACCACCGGGATCATCAATGCGCTATGAATTGTATAGCCTTTAATTTGAAAGGCTGCTACTCCTGATGGAGCGATTTTTAATACTTTGATTGTATCAAAATCCGTGTCAATTTGAGAATGAAAAATTCGTACCAATCGATCATGCACAGTTGTAATTAATACGGACTTGCCAACACCAGCTCCACCACTTACTAAAATACATAGAGGACCAATCTCGAAAGACCTCCGAACTCCACGTACAATATGATCCGCAATCGCTCGTTGCTCGGCGTTCAACAAACGCTCCATACACAAGTATTCACTTTCATTTGTTGTTACCGAGCGAAATATATCCGTCGATCTCGATCGTGAAGATGTTTCCATTCCAAATTCTATACCAATATCTACATCTTCATGAGGTTGTGAAGTTTCAAATGATCTATTTGTGTCAACGTTTTCTTCTCCCATTGCGTTTTCAAATGCACGTGCCCACGTTTCGCCTTTAACTGAAAATTCTTCACGTTTTGAAACGATCAAAGTTTCGTTTTTACAAAAAATTTGTGCAACTTCTACAGGATCATAAACTTCTTTTCGACATGGAACAAACAACAGCGTTTGTTCGCGCATAAAATTTTCTACATCAATGTCACGATGGAAATTGACGTATCTGATTATCTTTCGTCTCGATCTTTTGGAATAAAAAACGTTTTTTAATAGATAAATCGGGACCAATCGCATCTTCTTGCTCTACGCTTTGCTCAAAATCTGATGTGAACTCTGCGAAACATAGATTCTCCATTGCTGTTGGTCGTTGTAAATGTCAGAAATAACTGAGCAGGAATGAATGAACTAGAACAGAGTTTGGTACAAGTAGTAAACCCTAACTTTGTGTACCCCCTAAGGTGTAACCCACTACAGCCTAGACAATATAAACATGCAATGTTTGACACACCCCCATAGGCGCAGTGGGAGACAACCACAGGGTCACAAGACCAGTCAAAGCAAAGTAAAGCAAGCTCAGGGTGGATCTCAAGGATTCCACACAAATTCCGAGCACAAGCAAGTGGTCTCAAGACCAGTTCACATGCAGGTTTATAACAAAGCAAGAGATACAGTGATCACAACCTAGCAAAAGTAAACAAGTAGGCATATATATATAGTGATCACAGTACAAGCAAGGTCAAGAGGTAAGCAAGTGAGGCCCAGTAGGTACAAGGCCTAGTAGAGTGCAAAAGCACTGATGGTCACAAGGCTGAAGCGCCTTGGTGAACACATCAGCAGTGTTGGCCTCCGTGGCCACGTAACGCAGACAAAGCTGACCACGCTGCTGCAGCTCTCGAGCAAGGAAGTACCGCAGAGCGATGTGCTTCGTTCTGTGCTCCAGTCTGTGCTCCTCACACAAGGCAATGGCAGCCTTGTTGTCCACGTACAGCACTGGAGGAGAACGAGGCCGCTCTCCGAGGTCGGTCAGCAGGTAGGTCAGCCAGCGTAGCTCCTGAGCAGCCATGGCTGTGGCGTAGATCTCAGCCTCACAACTGGAGCTGAGAACAGAAGAAGAGCGAGTAGAACGCCAAGAAACTGAGCCAGAGCCAAGGCTGAAGGTGTAACCCTGGGACGACCGCTGAGTAGCCTGGTCGTCTGCCCAAGAAGCGTCTGAGTGCCCTGTGAGAACAACCCGGTCTCGCCCTCCAAGCACAAGCCCCATGCCCGACGTACTGCACAAGTAGCGCAACACCCTCTTAGCAGCATCCATGTGCTCCTTCCGGTGACGGCCAGGAGCGACATAGCGTGCTAGGATGCTAAGAGGGTATGCAAGGTCAGGTCGAGTGCAGGTCATCAGGTACATGAGGCAGCCCACAAGCTCTGGATACGGGCCACTCGGCTCTACGGACTCATCCGAAGGCAGAGCTGAGAGCGAGTGACCGGTAGGCAGAGGAGTGGACTGAGGCGAGGAGTACGTGAAGCGGAAGCGCTGGAGAACCTGCTGCACCATGTGTGACTGAGTCAGGGTGATGGTGCGC